AAAAAAAAAACAATAAAAAGGACCCAAGGGAGTGTTATAGAGATTATACCCAGGCCCTAGGCCGCCTTAGTCTCCCGACCTTAGGCCGACTTAGTAATAATACTTATTTAATATATGATTAGGTAAAATTAATAGTTACTTTTTAATTTTAATAAAAAAATAAAAGAGAGTTAAGATATCTAAATCTGAGATTATTCTTAAATATAAATATTCTAGTAAATATTAAATTAAGTTTAATTTAGTAAGGTTAAAGGGATCATAATAATATATCTATAAAATAAATTTTGTGGAGATAAAAAATTAAAGAAAATTTATAAAAATAATTTATATATAATAATTATAAATTATTATATTATATAATAAAATAAATATATCTAACACTTAAGTATGTTCACTATTTATTAAAAAAAACAAAATTTGAAAAGGGAAACTCCTATATGATCTTATTAATATTTTTATAGTTAATTCAGAAAACTATTACTAATTTATAATTTATATATATTTATTTTGTATAATTAGTTTTATATAGTTATTTACTAAATTCTTCCTATAGATAATTACTCTAACTCACTACTCTATCTTTCCCAACCTTAGGCCACCTAACGGCCTTGAGGGGAAAGTAATTTTAGTATAAGTTAATAATTTTTTAGCTGATATAGTTTAAATGGTTAAAACATACCACTCATGACGGTAAAATAAAGGTTCAATTCCTTTTCTCAGCTTTTAATTTTTTAAATATATAATTATTTATAATAATATTTAATAATATGCGGCCTTGCCTGATCTTTCAAATTAAGATAGAAATATAAAATAATAAATAACATTAATAAACTATTATTTAAAGGTAATAAATACTAGCCAAAATATAAATAGAAAAGATAAATATTATTACCCGCTGGCGCGAGCCGGTATATAATATGTGGCTTTATATAATATAAGTAATAATAATAATTATTATTAATAGTTCTTATCTATTTAATACTTTTACTGTTACTATGTAAGTAACAAATCGGCTACCGAAGGGGAGTATAAAATTTTATAATATTAATTAGTATAGATTTTTATATTAAATTTATATTAAAATCTTGCAGATTCTTTAGCTTCAGTGATAGAGATAGCTCCACTACCAATTTCTAATACAAATCCTATTGTTAAAACAATGAAGAAAATTAAAGCTATAGAAAACCCATAAGTACTTACTTGATATAAAGTAACAGCAATTGGGAATAAAAGCAGAATTTCAAGATCAAACACTAAGAATAACATAGCCACAATATAAAAATGTATTTGAAAAGTAGATCTAGTTTGACCTTGTATAGCGTTGAAACCACATTCATATGCAGATACTTTAGCTTCATCTTATTATTAAATATAAATAAATTACATTAAGGTTTAGGAGTACATAACAATTTGTATCACGCATGATTAAAAAAAATTTGTTTTTTTAAATAAAAAGGTTGTCTAACCGGTTAATATATAATACTAAATAAAACTATTATATATAAGCAGGATAAAACTTATCTAAGTGTGACCAATCAAAATACTCTCTTTTTTTGTTCATACCGTTCTTTAAAGTTATTAATTGATTTAAACCTTCAGGGTTTGAGACTTTTTATTTTGGATAAGATTAAATCCTAATTTCCAATCTTTATAATTGAGATATTTACTAGAGCGGCATATTGCCGGGAAACACATCTAAATAAGATATCAAAGCGATATTACTCTCCTCTTTCCCTCTTTCCCTCTTTCCCTCTTTCCCTCTTTCCCTCTTTCCCTCTTTCCCTCTTTCCCTCTTTCCCTCTTTCCCTCTTTGAGGAGAGGAGAGGAGAGGAGAGGAGAGGAGAGGAGAGGAGAGGAGAGGAGAGGAGAGGAGAGGAGAGGAGAGCAGCAGCGGTATTAACACAATATTTATAAAGTTGAGATAATCCATCACTATTTTTTTATTCATAGATATCAGATTAACCTTACAAAATTTAGCTAAAGAACTCATTATCTCTAATTGACTTAAACCTGTATGTGTTACATGTTTTTGAGAGAGTTCAAATCTACAAATTTTGGAATTTTGCGATATATATATTAAAAAACAACCGTCCGAATCAATAAAACCCGATAACCAAGGATTCGAATTTATATCTCTGACATCTTTGTCTTTCTTAATAATATTAAGTGAAGGAAATCTATTGTTTAATAAATCTATTAATTCATGTAACTTTACTATTTTATTAGTTCTCATACAACCGTTTAACATTTCAGCTATAGTAATAATACCATCAAAATTAAAATTTTCTAATCGGGATGCATTTGAATTTTTTACTAAATATATTTTACCAAATCCTAATTCTTGTTTTAATTAATTTTTCGGCTAAAGGTAAGTCTCTTATGTCAAAAGTTATTTTTGGTCTAAATTTACTTTCACCCTTTGGTACTATTATACTACCATCTCCTTCTATTAAGCCTGCTAAAAAGGAACAAAATAATGGATTATAACTAGGTTTTTTTCTATTATTTATTTGTTCATTTAGTTTTAAATATTTATAGTTTTTACTCGAATTGTTTAAAACCAGGGGCCCGACGGAAAAGGAGGAATATAAAAAAGAATTTATAATGATATCATTGTTTAAGATTTCAGTTGTAAATTGAAAATCATTTAGGATAGCAAATATAAAAATAGAATAAGATAAAGGTTTTCCTACTTTACTTAACTTATTTACCAAAACTTTATTGATTGGGGTTGGGCTCCTTCTGCGGAGCTCGGGGGTAAATGAAGTTTTATTATTTCCAGGTGTAGACATAGAGATAGCTCCACTACCGATTTCTAATACGAAACCAATAGTTAAAACAATGAAGAAAATTAAAGCTATAGAAAAACCATAAGTACTTACTTGATATAATGTTACAGCTATAGGGAATAGAAGTAATATTTCCAAATCGAATACTAAAAATAACATAGCCACTATATAAAAATGGATGTGGAAAGTGGATCTAGTTTGACCAGGGATAGCGTTGAAACCACATTCATATGCAGATACTTTGGCCTCATCAGCTTTTTTAGGAGCTAATAATAAATTTAAAGCAAGTAATATAACAGATAAAATAGGAACAAAAATAAATAACATTAATAAAGTATTCATAAATTTAAAAGTTATATACAGATAAAGATAGTAATTGTGTACTATTTAATAATATAGAAGGTTTTAGAACAAATAATAATATAGATAAAGTTAAAGTAGAAATTAAGAAACTATGGTAATTTGTTAATTCACTTATTTCTTTTTCTTCCTGGTGTGTTTCAGGTAGAGAATTAATTGAATCTTTAGATACTGGCTGCACATTATCATTATTAGAATGAAGAACTCTAATAATTTTTAAGTAATATGAAGTACTAATCACACTAACAACAATAGCTACAATAGCCATGAAATAATATCCTGTTTGTATTGCAGAATATAAAACAAATTGTTTAGAGAAAAATCCAATTAAAGGAGGGATACCAGCCATAGAGAATAAGCAAATAGTTAAACTTAAACTAAGTAAAGGATTATTAAAAAATTGACCTTTTAATTCAGATATAAATTTAATATCTTTTTCTGATTCATTATTTAATAAAGAAGCGGATATATTATTAGAATTTTTAATTATATAACCAAATGCTAATATAATTAAGAATGTATTTAAATTAGTTATTGAATATTGTATAATATAAAATATTAAAGAATCTATAGATTGTTCTGTATTTATTGCTAATGCTAATAACATAAATCCTATGTGAGATATTGTACTATAAGCTAATAATCGTTTAATTCTAGATTGAGCTAATCCTACTACTGTACCTATTATTAAAGATAGTAAGGAACTTATTAGTAATAAATTTTTTATTACATAACCTATATTTTCTGAAAGATTATTTAATAATTCTATACCTAATCCTGATAAGATTATTTCATTTCCTATTACTCCTATTTGTGTATGTAATTCTAATAAAAAGATTAATATTGATATTTTTGGCATTATAGTTAACCATATTGTTACTATTGTAGGAGTATCATCATATACATCCGGAGCCCAATTATGTAAAGGTGCGGCTGCTATTTTAAATAAGAAACCTACTATTACTAATATTAAACCTAAACTTAAACCTTGTATTATATTATTACTATCTGATACTGAGACTAAAGTATATATTGATTCAAAGTTTGTTAAACCTGTAAAGCTATAAATTAAACCTGCTCCTAATAATATTAAACAAGATGATAAACCCAAGGCAGATCAGATTTATCTTACTAATAAAATTAAAAAAAAAATAGAGCGTAACAAAGTTTATATTCTACTCTGAAGCTGGCACACTTTTCGATCTCCCAGTGTTCATTCCAGCTTTGATAATTCGAATTTGCTCTAACCCTTCCTTAGTTAAATGTTTTTTGTCTTTAATCATTTCTAATACTTCGCAGAAATCAGAAAAATCTTTAGACTTTTCTCCAAGGATAGGATATTCTTTAAATAAAGGAATAATGTTTTCAGTTATACTTGATAAATTACCAACTCTATAATAACACGCGTCATTTTGCATATGGAAACTACCACATTTTAATAATTCAATCAAGCTTTTCATTAATGCCTCATCTCTAGAATGTTGAGACAGACTAAACTCTAATTGTACACCTGCTTTAAGTTTATGTGTTGATGAATTAAAAATATTAACGAAAAAACAACCTTCAGCCGAAGCAAATCCACCTAACCATTCCGGTACTAGGGTAAGATTATGAAAGACAGCTCTTGGAATTGGCAAAATATCTGGGAAAGCTGCTTGTAAACTCTTAGACAAACCTCTGTTCATTGAAGCTTTAATTGCCACAATCTTATGTAAACCAGATAAAGTTAAATGTTCTTTATTTAAAATAAGATTTAGAACTTCTTTAAAAAGTTTGTAGTCGGAAGATTTTTGAGTTTTTAAAGGGTATTGTTCTAAATGGGCAACAATTACAGCTAAATCTTTAGGTGATTGAATTCTAAAACTAATAGTTCCATTTTTTTTTATAAAAATGTTACCTACTTGTAAATAGTTTTGAATTGCTTCCAATAATGCTTTATCCCTAGCATTCAACGTTATTTCAAATTCAGCTTTTACCGCCCAACCTACATTATTCTTATTTTTATAAATACTGATAAGAAAACAACCTTCACCGTCAATAAATCCGGTAAGCCAAAAAGGATTAATTTTAATTACTTGTCCTTTATTTGGCTGTTTTTCTGTGAAAGAAGGGTTCGAGGCGGCAGTGTCAGTGTAGAAAAATCTTTGTAAACTAGTCATATGTGGCTAAACTGTGACTGATCTCCCAATTTTTTATAAAATTATTAGATTAGAAAGGACTCTGATTTGATAACCTCTTTCGAGGCCCTTTAGAGTACACCTTAATTGCATAATTTAAGTTTTTATGCAATAACTACCGTCTACTCGTTGCTCTTTTACAAAATCTGCTTTAACAAACTCTGATTTAGATCCGCGATAACCCATTTCACTTTCGTTCATCATATAGCTTGTTACCGTACCCAGGTAATTATTCTGGCCACTCATAGCCTTTCGACTATGGCTTGGTACTATATGCTTTAGGGTGTCCCCGGAGTTTGATAGTTGTAGGCACAAGTTTAGAGAAGTCCTAATTTCCCTTAGCACCTAATAAAAAATATTTTAATCCAGCAGAAGTAGATGATTCTGAATCTCGATATAAAGTAGATAAAATATATACAGCAAATGATTGTAATTCAATACTTAAATACATAGAAATTAAATCTGCACTTGACACTAATAATGAAGCTCCTAGTGTACTGAATAAGACTATTAACGAATATTCAGCTGCATAACTCATTCTATAATTTGTTATTTTTTTTATTTCTTTAATATTTGAACTTATTTTGTCTATTGAGTTTTGTACACTTCTACTTATTGTTTTATAACTTATTGAAGGCCAAGACACTAAAATTAAGGAACCTATTATAAATAGGAAGGTATCTAACAATTGAGATACTGTGCTAACATGGAATAATCCACTATATATACCTATACCTGATCCAATTGACTGAATATAAAAAGCATTAAAAGCTAATGCTCCGGCATAAATAAATACTATAGAAGATATTCTAAGATATAATATTGATGAAATATTTTTATTGATTGAAGGTAGGGCTATAGCCACTATTAAGATTAAGATACTAAGAATGATCATTGCTTTTTTCCGATTATTTATTTATATGTAAGACCAGCCCTCCTTTCCTTTTTTAATTTAAAAAGGAAAGGAGGCGGGCTAGGGCTTGGGGGATCGGGTTGCGGACGACGCCCTAGGATAGTGGGACGGAGATATTAAATTTTCCTATTTAAAGGTAAATAAAATACTTCTTCTTTTAAGCGAACGGGGGGGGG